CTGTGCAAGGAGACATGCACACTTTCGGGGTAGAGGTCTGGCCTCCAACAGAGCCTTCGACATCTCAGACTCTAGCTCACTTGTTGTCAGATGGGAAAACAGAATCAAGCAGGGGTGGGACCGAAGTCCAGTGTGCTGAGGACGTCTCATTACTACTGTGACTTGGTAGAACTTGAAGCATTAGCATTTTCGGTGGGATGATGTAGAAACTGTACTCAGAGAGGACGTTGTCTGACTCCCAGGCACCGGGCATCACTGGGACTCTTCGATCAACATGGCCAGAAGTGGAATTTGTCTTTGAGCCCCCAGTCCACTGAGAAGTTGTTTGGTTGCGTTGTCTTGGGCTGCAGGGCTCAGTGGGAACGGCCCCAGGATAGGAGTCACAAGAGTTGTTCAGACAAGCTCATGGCTGGAAGTCTTGCGCCCTTGGGCATGCCGTTCATTCTCCGTGTTGACTGAGTTCATACTGTGCCGCAGGGCCCAGGCTAGGGCTGGATGTGGATGGGGACGGAACAGACACGGGCCCTGTCCTCTGTTCTGGTTCCCCATCTGGCCACAGGGTGCTTGTGAGTGCCAGATGTGACGGGGTGAGTATAAGCACCGAACCATCTGGTAAGACCCAGAGGAAGAGATTTGCTTCTGAAACTTCCCCCAGGCAGGCTCTGCGGGCACATTGGACTGGCCATATCAGATTCAGTCCGGGGGATGAGTAAGAACGAAGCAAAAGAAAACTTTGGGGGTGGTGGAGGTCAATGGTTTGCAAAAGTTAACTGCTTCGGAGGTATTTCTTCCAATTTAGTCACGCCTAGTGTATTAGTTTCCTGTGGCTGGTGTAACAAATTACCACAAACTAGATAGCTTAAAACAAACGAAATTTGATCTCCCAGTTCTGGAGGCCTGAAGTCTGAAATCAAGGTCTTGGGCCAGGGTCACACGCTGTCTGGAGGCTCCGGGGAGATCTGCGCTTTGCCTCTTCGGTTTTGGGTGGCTGCAGCATTCCTTGGCTTGTAGAGCCGCGTGTCTCCAATCTGTGGTCATGCTGCCTCCTCTTCTCTGTATTGTTCCCTCTTCTGTCTGTAAATCTCCCACATGTCTCTTATGAGGACACTTGTCATTGCATACAGGGCCCACCCAGATAATCTAGAATGATCTCCTCTCAAGATCCTTAAGTGAATTACACCTACAAAGCGCCTTTTTTCAAATGAGTTTGCATTCACAGGTTCTGGGGATTAGGTCGTAGGCCCGTCTTTCAGGGGAGCCGCCATTTACCACCCATTAAAAGCAAAGCTGTAGATATCAAAGATGGAGAAAGTAGGGGTTCTTGGAGGTCTAGTCACCACCACCCTGTTATCCAGGCCTCATGGGTGCTTCTGGGCCTTTGCTCTGGAACCCCTAGGCCTTTAAGGAAAACACTTTGAGAACCATTGCCTTAGTGAAAGGCCATGGCTGTTAGGGAATCCCTTGGGCAGGGACCCACTTGGTCTGACTTCTCTCCTGGCATTCTGGGATGAGCAGTAACCAGTGACCACAGACATCGTGTGCTTACTGAGAAATATCCTTTTAGTGCCTGACATTGGATTTTACGTTGAAGCATGACTCGGGTTAAATATAAAATTCATAGCATATCTTAAGCAACTATTTTGTAGTTATCTATATATAAATCTATTTTACAGTGACACAAATAGAATAGATTATGGAGTGTCAGCATGTAGATAGATTCCAAGTGCTTTTTCACTAATATACCTAATGATTCGTGCTGAGAATATCCATGGGCTCTACTGTACATTTAAATGGATATAATTAAAATAATGAGCTCTATTTTAAAAAATGATACATGAAAAAATATTTTCTTAAAGAAGTTAGAAGGAGCTGCAGCACTAATTCACAGTGATATAAGTGCTTCTGCAATTCCATTGTTATTAGGAGGCCTAATTAAATGTAAAGCATCCGAGAAAAGCAACACTTGGGCTTGTAATCTAAAGTGTGAAGCCGGGGGAAGAGAAGTCCCCCGTGTTCTCGGTGCAGCAAGGGTTCAGGGGTGTCACCTGTAAGAGAGTGGGTGGTTGTGTGCCACTGTGCTTGTGGGCAAGAGGGTGTGAGAGTCACCTGTGCAAGGCAGACGGGGCATTCAGAGACGGGGTCTAACGCCATCTCGAGCAAGCAGGGAAGGCTTCCCAGAGGCAGGTATGTCATCATGGACCAGTGTCATCATAATGGCAGCTGTCATCCAAGGAGATCCACTCTGTACAGCTCTCTGGCTCCCCTCCCGCCCCGCGCTGGCAAGGAGCACAGTCCCCCTTTAGCAGACAGGGAAACAGACTCAGAGAGGGGAATCTCTGGCCAGAGGTTGCGGGGTTTGTGGACACCCAACCTGTCAGACTCCAACAGCTCCCCCCTCCCACCAGGATGGGAGATGCTAATGAGGTCCTTGAGGGCAGGAAGGGACACTAGGTCTGTTAAGACAGGATGGTCAAGCGCTTACGGGCCCTGAGGGGAGGGCGTTCTGGGCAGGGAGCTGTTCTATGTCCTTCCCATCCTGTAACGTCAGCTGTGGGGAACACTGACAGGTGGGACACCTCCGCTCTGGTGGGCCTCTCTGCGGGCCCTGGGAAGTCCATCTGCCCTGAACTTGGGGCTTAGCCCCATGTGCAGCCGGGGTCGGGACCAGCCAGGCCCAAGCCAGGGAGAGTCCTCAGCTGCCTGCCTGTCCAGCAGCCCTTAGGACCCGTGGGCTGTGCTCTTGCCAGGCTGGCATGGAGGGTCGGACAGGGTCCCTGAGTTCTATCTCTGTGCTCAGCGAGCCTCAGGGTGGGCAGGACTGGCAAGTTGTAGCACCCACGTGGTCTCAGCTAGGGAATAGGGAGGGACTTCAGCAACTTCTATCACCAGTTTCCCTCAGCACTAGCATCTCCACTCTAGGAGTCACTCTAGACAGTGTCCTGGTTGTACATTTTTGCAGTTGGTCCTCACGAGGCCCTTTGAGTTAGTGTGGGGCTCCCTGCCTCACGGGTGCGGAAACAGGCTCAGAGAGGGTCAGGGCCCACTCAGGGTTCCAAGCTGGCATGACAGTGCTGCCTTTAAACCCCACTGATTTGCTTCCACAGCCCCTGCACTAAAATCTACGCGTGTAAGACTCTTCCCCTGCGTTCTCTCATTCTCTGAACACTTCTTTCCCCTGCCCCCCATATAGACGATAGGTACCCCAGAACATCTCCACTGGGGCCAGCGTTCTAGGTCCCTTGCACACATTGCCTTGTGTCTGCATCACAGTGCTGTGGGGTAGGTGCTGTGTTTATCCCCATCGTATGGGTGTGAAGACTGAGGCTCGGGGTGGAAGTCACTTTTGCAGGAACCCACAACTGGAGAGAGTGGCAGTTCTGAGATTTGGCTCTGGGATGATCCAAATTCACAACCCAGTGCTCTTTCCATCTCAGTTCCTCGCATCTCCTTCCCGCCAGGCCATCAGGCAGCCTCTGCTCCCTCTTCGTGGTTTGCAGACAGCCTCCTCTCTGTGTCCTCACATGGTAGAGAAATAGCGGGGAAAGAGATCTCTCTCCTTCTTCTAAGGCCACTGTCCTATCAGATAAGGGCCCTACTGTTCTGATTGTATTTAATCTTAATTACGTCCTGAAGGCCCTATCTCCAGATACAGTCACGTTGGGTGTTAGGACTTCACCACGTGAAGCAGGGGTGGGGAGACACAGTGCAGTCATAGGACCACCCCAGTGGCCTTTCTCTGCCCCCTCGTCATCAGCTGGAGCCTTCCTTCTCTCTCTCTGCTCAGTTCCCCAACCTGGGAGAAAGTTGAGAGCTGGGCGGGACAGTGGACATGATAAAACCCATGTTCTTGTGGTAGATGGAGCTGGAAGCCCAGAGAGGGGAAGGGTCTTGTCCAGAGTCACAGAGCAAGCCCACTGCTGATCCAGGATGAGATCCCGGGTCCTGCCTCCCAGCCCGGGCACCTCCGCTAAGCTCCAGTTGGTATGCTAGCCGGCCTTGCCTGAGCCTGGGCCTTGAAGTTCACGGTCCAGCTGCTTCTCTGGAGCACTGGAGAGGGCTGGACATGGCCAGGGCAGCATCCCCAGGCCTGGAACGTGACCTGATTCCCCAGCTTGTGCATGCCTCAGCTTCCCCACCACTGCCGGAAGGATGAGGGAGAGTCTCACTGAAAGGAGAACAGTTCAAGAGTGGATGGCCGGGACCTGGCTTCGTGCCTCGGCCTGCCACCAATCTTGTGTGTGGCCCTGGGCAGGTCACAGCCCTGCTCTAGGCCTCAGGGCCCACCCTCGATATTGAGCCTATTAACTTGAGGATGTTTCTCCTATTTGAAGAGCCACCTAGAGGCCGCATTGTGGGGGGGCCAAGTGTTGGCTCCGCGGCCTCCCCCTCAGTGAGCCTTTTGGCCTGTATGTTCCCTAGTGTAAAGCAGGGTGAGCTCTGCAGCCCTTCCGCCAAGGAGCAAAGGGAAGGGCACCACGTGCTCTGCGTACATCAAGCCACTGAAACCCCTGCTGCTCAACTGCCATTAAGGACTAGCAGCACCTGCCTCCACTGGGTGCTTGTTAGAAATGCAGAATCTCAGGCCAAGCCACAGACCTGCTGCACCAACTCTGCATTTTACCAAGATTCTCAGCTGATCTATGGTCACGCTGAAGCTTGAGAAGAACTAATTTCAACCAGCCAGAGCTTTTCTTGCAGGTCTCTTGTAACTCCAGTTACAAGAGTTACTGGTCACGTTTAGACCCCAGCTTTTCCATCTGCAAAATGGGTGCAGTGTGAGCCATCCTACTCCAGAGATTTTCAAACTGTGTTCCTTGGAGCCCTAGGGTTCCCTGGAGGACCCTCAGGGGCAGCGGTGGGAACCTGTGCTTTAAGGTGAGGGTCACATGAGAGGTGGGTCTAGAGCTAAAAATTTTGCAACCCCCCCTTGGCTGGGGCGCGCCCAGGTAGGTCTGGGGCGAGTCTGGGGTCCACACTGAGCAGACTGTCTTCTTTCCCAGGGAGCGCTTGAAGCGCAACCAGAAGAGCACCAAGGTGGAGGGGCCAGAGCCTGTGCCGGCCGAGGCCTCGCTGAGCGCCGAGCAGGGAACGATGACGGAGGTGAAGGTCAAGACGGAGCTGCCCGATGATTACATCCAGGAGGTGATCTGGCAGGGCGAGGCCAAGGAGGAGAAGAAGGGGGTGAGCAAGGATGGGACCGGCGACGTGCCTGCCGAGATCTGCGTGGTGATTGGCGGTGTCCGCAACCAGCAGACCCTGGGTGAGCGCCCGTCCGCAGGGTCGGGCTGGGGCCAGGGTGGGAACGTGGAGCCGGAGTGCTAGGGCGGGAGGCCTGGGATCCCTGTCCCTCCCCGGCTGCGAGAGCCTTCTGTGGCTGCCCTCAGGGAAGGGCCTCAGCTCCTGACACTCGCCTTTGCCTGCTCAGCTCTGCTCTGAGCTCTTGTCTTCCCACCTGACGTGGCAAAACCCTACCTGTCCTTTTAAGACTTTGCTCAAGTCAGATGCCTGGAACTTTCTGCAGGCCCGGCGAATCTCACACCATGGGGCTCCCACACCCCAGATGGGTCCAGCACAGCCTGTATCACTCGGTGTCCTAAATGCCCGTCTGCATTTCTTCCTCCTGGGCTTCCCCGGGGGCCTCTGGGGGCAGCTTTCAGTGTGGGTCCTGCTCAGACCAGTTGTCCAGTCAGGATCAGATGGGTGGCAGTCTGGCACCTTCTCCCGCCTCTTCTGGTCTGGGCCAGGCTCAGAGGAGCTCAGTAGAAACAAGCTTCTTAGAAACCATCTCTCCCTGCTACATTACAGTGTGAGCCAGGGGATACCCCTTAGGGGCTGCCTGCACTCCTGCCAGTTTGCAAACGCAAAGGCCCACAAAGCCCGAAAGATACGTTTATTTAGCATCGTGGAGATGAGCCAGACAGGCAGGTGGTAGGTGGTAGGGCCTGGGTCCAGCTGGAGAGCCCATGCCTCACGTATGGTAACTAGGTGGGGACACGGGCTCAGGGTGGCCAGATCTCTGGACAGAACACATGCCAGAAATGAGAATTTGAATGTAAATTCTTTTGGCTTTAAACGTTGGTGGCTAATTTGACTTTTAAAATCTGCCAAGCAAAACATACCTGTGGGTGAGAGTCATTCCATGGACCACCAGTTTGCAGCCCCGGTCTGTAAAATACAGTCCACGAGCCTCAGCCTGGCACGGACACCTTGCCTAGTCTGCTCCCAGGTCTCTGTTTCCATCTGTGCCCTCCTCCGCATTCCTGTGCTCAGGAGACCGTCTCGCTCCCCTCTGCCTGTCCCTCCTGGGGCAGCTCTGCCCACCTCCTCCTGACTTCCAGGCTCCCATCCCATGTGTGCCAGGCAGGGGAGGCTGCCCTGTGTCTGCTTCCCCAAGTTTAGACTCGAGACCTCTTGCCTTTTCTTCCCAGCCGCTGGGGATCAGCCTCAAGTTCCCTTTCCCAGCTGTTCCTGGGCTGGTTGTGGCCACCATCACTCCACCTGGGTCACTGTGGCGTCCTGCTGACAGCTGTGCCTCTGTGTCTTTCTGCCCTCACCTGCCATCTACTTTGGCTGCCAGGGACCTTGACAAAAATGAAACACTGACCATGTCACTCCCCACTGTATCTAAGGTCAAGGCCATAGCATCAAGGTCCTCCATAACCTGAGCCCCATAGCCCCCTTTCTTACTTCTTTCTTCCTGGTCCTTTCATTCCAGCACAGTCTGCTCTTCTGCAGCATTTCCTACCCTTTGCTCCTGCTGTTCTCTCTCCCTGGAATGCCTTTGCCGAAATCCAACCCAGTTTACAAGGCTAGCTCCGGTGCCCCCTCCTCCCAGAAGCCTTCCTTGATCTCTTCTGGTCAGAAGTGGTCTGTTTCTGCCCTGCCCCTCAGGGGGCACTTCCCATTATCCACTTGAGATTAGAGGGGCCCTGTCGGCACCTGGCTCTGCTACAAGATGGGCAGCTCCTGGAGATTAGAGCTCTAGGACCTGTCTGATCTGTGTCTGTGCTCCCTACTCCCACCACACAATTCCTAGCAAGGTACTAGTTTCTAGGAAGCAGTGTTGTCATTGCTGCTATAGCTGTCAGAATGGGGCTAGGTTATGCCACAGTAACAAAAGACCCTAAAAAGTAATGAGATCTTGGTAGCTCAGAACCACAAAGGTTCATTTATTTCTTAGTCCACTACATGTCCACTGTGGGCCAGTTGGGGGCGCTGCTCTGTTCTGGACCCAGGCTTAAAGCAGCCATTGTCTGGAATGCTGCCAGCCAAGTGACAGAGGGAAAGAGCTCTGGAGGGACTCACGTGCCAGCTGCGATCCACAAGTGAGATGTGTTAATTCCCTTCACAGTCATTGGCCAGGTTAGTCAGGTGGCCCCGCCCAACCCCAGGGAGGTGGGGAAATGCCATTTCCCATGTGACAGAAGGGGGGATGAACCAGAAATATTTGCTGAAGAGCATGAGTGACTTAGCCCAGTGTCGAATGAAAGAAGAGTCTTTTCTGGGGCCTGCGTCTGACCTCCCTCCACCAGTGTTCACTCCCCAAGGCCTAGGACTGTGTTAGCCACTCATAGATGTGTTAGTTAACTGAGGAGAGGCCCTGCCCTGCTCACTTTAAGACTCACTGGACCCAGGAGTTATTTATGCCCTTCACTGGGAGATGCCCAGTGAAGGGTAGTTGAATCTGAACCTTGAGGCGGGGCCAGCAGTCAGGATTCAGTGGGGAAAGCCTGGAGTGGCCATGCATGGAAATGCTGGGGGTCCTCCCTGGGCCAACTCCCTGCACAGTGAGAGGCCCCAGGGCCTCGTGCCAGCCACAGACTCTGGTTTCCAGCTCAGCTGCTACTCAGCAATAGGTTCCTTGGCCTTGCTGTGCCTTAATGTCCTCTTCTGTTAAAGGAGACATGCTCCCTGTCCTGGCCACCTCATAGGTGTGGGAACCGAAGGGGACAGTGTTGTGCAAGGAGAATGAGCTCGGCTCCTCAGGCTGGGAGTGGATCCAGGCTCCCTGACTTAATGGCTGTTGCACCTTGGGCAAACTGTTTGACCTCTCTGTGCCTCAGTTCTCACAATTGCAAATTCATGGGGTTAGGTGAGGATTCAATAGGATAATGTGTATAAAGTACTCAACATTATACTTAGTAAATAATTCGCTGTTATTAGCAGTAATACTAGTATTGATAGTATAAAGTACCTCTTCGAGAGGAAAGAGTAGTAATAGTTTCTGCATTTTTCCCAGGTCTGAAGAATAAGCCAGTGTGATGTAGAGAAGAAGCAGGATAGAAAAGAAAGTTGGCATTGGCTGAGGTGTCAGAAGACATGGCTTCTAGTTGGTTCTCGGTTTTCTCCCCTGAGCTTCTTCTAGTACTGCCCCCCTAGAATCCAGGGACGTTGAGGATGTTATGCAGTTTCTGAGTAACCTGCTTTTGGAAGACTTCTGTGGAAAAGGTGTAAGAACCACAGTTAGAAGCGGAGCCACCATTTTGGAGCCGGTACCAAAGCAGGGCCAGGGCACCCCCTGCTGGTCATGATGGCGTCTCACATCCATCAAGGCAGACCTCCTTGAGGGTGTAGTTTCTTCTGCCAAGGGTCAGGCTCAGAGGAATCTGGCTTGGCCTTTTAGTAGCAGGAAAGAAAGGCAACTTTTTTTAAAAAAATCAGTGTTAGAATTGAACATTCTGAACTCATCTCATCTCAAAAACGCAAGTAGATATTATCTTATGGGCCACATCCGAGCAATTGCTGCTGGCTATTAGGAGTTCCGTGTTGAAGATTCTAAAGGGTGTCATGATTGATTATTGATGTCTGTCATGGATATGGAAGTGGGCAGAGGAGCTCCACATGCTATAGATGCGGCACTCAGACCCCCTTATTTTATAGAGGGACAAACAAAGGCCTAGGAAATGGAAGAGATTGGCCACTCCACCTCACAGCACCCACCTCCCACCTGCTCCTGGAAGTAAAACAAGGAAGGAAAGCATTCCCAGGGATCTGGCCGGGACAGAATGCTGGTTAGAGCCATCCCTTTAAATGAGCTTATGCCACAGTGTGCTTCTGTGCCCTGGTGGCTGGGCGCCGTGCAGTGAACATGTTCCCAGGGCACTTGGCAGGGGTGCGCAGGGCTGTGGCCGGGCTCTGTTGCTGAATACAATAGTGTTCCTGTTCGGTCACCCAGTGCTGTGCCATGAGGGAACCTCCCGCTTGCCTTTTCTCTGAGCTCCATCCGCCTGTTCCCACCCCGAAGTCCTCACTGGCCCTTTAACAGCCATCAGACAAACAGTGTTCCTAGTGACACAAACATTATCTGAGGCACTTCCCATGGAGGAGCTTTGGGTCTGGACACATGGATGGCATTTGGCCGCTTCTCAGACTTGTAGAGCCGGGAGGGGCATCAGTGCCCAGGAGGCTGGCTGCCAAGCTTGCAGTAGTTGCTGCTACTTTCCTGCTGCCCAGAAATTCTTTGTGCTGAAAAGGGTATCTCTCAGTCTAGAGAGACTGAGAAAAGGGTATCTCTCTCCTTTTTTTAGCAAGAAGAGCAGAGACAACTGACTGTGACAACTTTGTTGGATAAAACCAGAAGTGAAAGGCATCCCTAACTGATCACTGCACACTGTCCCAACAGTGTACCTCAGAATCCTTCTCAACACAGTATACTAGGAAGTCACTGCCAGTCAGCTAGAATTGAAAAATCTGAAGTAGACACCTGCTCGTCAGCCTTGTCCTAGATGATGAAGACAAGGCGAGCTGGGTTTACGCCAAAAAGCATCCAGCCCATGGAGCATTTCCTGGAAGAATGGTGCAGAAGAGATGATGGGGTCTAAGTATTCACGACTTAGAGCATTTTGGTGGGATGGGACCGGGCAGACACATTCCAAGTAGCCCCAACCAATACAGGAAAGTCACCAGGAGGTGATTTCAGCTCATGAAAGGGAGGACTCTGTGATTATGGGAAGTGTTTGGTAACTGAATACAGGCCTGTGAGGGAGTGAGTTCCTGTCCTGGAGATGGGTGAGCAGAGGAGGGTCACGACCAGGTACAGGAGGGAGAGTCAGTCAGCTGGGAGCCTGGATCCTGCAAGGATGTTTCTAGGCAGCGAGCTTTGGGCACCAGGGGTGGTGGTGTTTTCACACCCACAGGGCTGCCCAGGGAGGAGGGGCAGGGAGAGAGGAGGCGGGGCCTTGGCCACAGCTCTGGAAGGAGCAACAGAAGAGCAGACAGCCATTCAGACACAGACACATGGGTTTCGGTCTCTTATAAACC